GCGGTGCGTGCTGCTAGGCAGTGCACGCTGCGCGTTGCCGGGCGGTGCGTGCTGCTGTGCGCGCTGCCAGACGATGCGTGCTGCGCACTGCCAGGCGGTGCGAGCTGCTGTGCGGCGCTGCCGGGCAGTGCGTGCTGTTGCGCGGTTTGCTGTGCGTGCCATTGCCTATGACTACGCCGCAATGTGCTGCCGGGCGGTGTGTCCATAACATCACACCCCTCCTGGACAATGAGCTTGTCCTCAAGCTCGAGAGTTGGGTAGGCGCTGTGAAGGTCAGTCTAGGGAATCCAGGTTGCCTCTGCTGAGGGTAGTCCTTCCCATTCTACGAGAAACCTCGATGGTACCCTGATTGATGCATGACCGGACAAGAGCTCGAGGGTGGAGGATGGGTCTACCATCCTTTAGAGGGGGTAGAGAAGGCACGTGCTCAGGGGGAGTCCCTGTAAAAGGCTTCAGTAGGGACACATGGAAGATGTCATGAATTCTGCTATGCTCCGGTAGCTCGAGTTGATAGGCAACCTTCCCGACCTGCCGGAGAACCTTGAAGGGATCGTAAAATTTGGGAGCCAGCTTGGGGGGGCCTCACCGCCTGAGGGTGAGCTGTCGGTACGGCTGGAGCTTCAGCCAAACGAACTGACTTGGCTCGAAGGTGACTTCGCGGCAGTGTTGATCGTAGGTTTGCTTCATACGCGCTTGTGCCTGCTGCAAGCGTAGGGAGACTTCGGCCAGGAGGGCATCGCGGTCTTGGAGACTACGATCTACTTCTTCCAACCGTGTGGAACCTGGTTCGTAAGATAAAAGACGGGGAGGGTCGCGGCCATACACAACCCAGAAGGGAGTCATGCCAAGGGAGGAGTGGTAGGACGTGTTGTAGCAGTATTCGGCCCAAGGAAGACAATCCACCCAACGTCATTGTTGGTCCCCTATGAAACAGCGGAGGTACATCTGTATGGTCCGGTTGACAACCTCCGTTTGTGGATGGTAGGCGGATGAGAAAGCCAAGGTCGTGCCCTGTAATCGAAACAACTCCTTCCAAAAGGTGCTGGTGAAGACTGCGTCCCTATCGCTGACGATGGACTCTGGCAGCCCATGTAGGTGGAAGATGTGTGTGAAGAAGGCGTGGGCCACAGAGACTGCACTGTATGGGTGGGACAACGGAATGAAATGGGCATACTTGGAGAAGCGGTCCACCACCACGAATAAGACTGATTTCCCTCCGACTTTAGGCAAAACTTCAATGAAGTCCATGTAGATATCGGCCCAGATCTGTGTTGGGAATGAAAGGGGCTGCAGGAGGCCAGTCGAGTGTAAATTCTCCCATTTTTGTTGCTGACATGTTGAGCAGTTCTGGATGAAATCCCTAACTGAGCCGCGCATGCCATGCCAATGAAAATCGGCGCGGACGCGGTGCAATGTCTTCTGAACCCCTTCGTGGGTGGCATTATGGATGCTGGCGATGATGGCTAGAATCAATGGGCAATCTGTCAGGAGATATACCCTCCCTTTGTACAGCACAAGTCCCTCATGGATGGACCAGTTCGGGTTGGTTGTTCCTGACTGTAATTCTTGCACCCGATCCCTCCAAATTGGTGATTGGGGCAGTATGCTCCTTAGGTTCTCCAATAGGGTAACGTGGGGCCGGGAGATCGCGCAAAGGTGGACCGTGTCTTCATCATGCCTAGATAGTGCATTGGCGGCCCGGTTTGAAGCCCCTGCCTTGTGGTCTACGCGGAAGTCAAACCCTAGTAGTTTACTTGCCCAATGCTGCTGGGGTGGAGTAGTAAGCTGCTGCTCTAGAAGGTACTTGAGGCTGTAATGGTCTGTCTTGACAACGAAAGGTTTGCCCCACAAATATGGCCTCCAGTGTTGGACGGCCTTGGCATGCCCAATTAATTCACGCTCGTAGGTGGGCAGCTTAAGGTGCCGGTCTGCTAGCTTGTGGCTGAAGAAGGCTATGGGGTGCTCTTGTTGCTGCAGCACTACGCCGATGCCTATGCTAGAAGCATCACACTCAACCGTAAACTCCTGGTTAAAGTTTGGTAGCTGCAACATGGGGGTAGAGCAGACTGCCTCCCTTAAGTTTGTGAAGGCGGTGTCCGCTGCTTCATCCCACTGGAATGCATTCTTCTTCAACATCTTG